AGATTTTAAAAATTTTATTTGTGTGTAACTTAAATAAATATATAAATAATATAATTTTACTTATATACAACTTTAAAAATGAAACGTAAAATTACTGCGCCTAAAAACAAATCTAAAAAATTAAAAATCGAAAATGCTACTATCCATCCTCTTACATTAATCTTCAATTATATTGATGATCCCTTTGAATTTTGTAATACTTCTCTAGTGTATAAAGAGTGGAAAAACATTCTTGATAATCATGTTTTTTGGGAAAATCTAATCGAACATTTTGAACTTGAAGACCCAAAACCAAAATCAAAGAAATATAAAATATATAAATCAATTTTTGTTAAAAATGTTAACAAATTATATTGGTGTAAAAAAAATATTGGAGAAGTTAATCAGGAGTTAAAAAAATTTGAAAGCAAATTTGATATTTTACAAAAATTTTGTAGTGATTGTATGGATTTTTATAAAACATGGGTTGAAAAAAAATATACCAGATCAGAAATTTATTATAATCTATATAATTATATTAATGATAAAGTTTTTGATTTTTATCAGCAATGTGATTTTAAAAAGCGCTGCGAATTATGTGATAATGAACAAGAAATTTTAAATCAAGTTCAAAATCTTATCGATGAAATTTATTGTAAAAAAAATAGTATTAAAAACTTTAGTAAATTTGTTGAAGAAAATCTTATTGTAGTAGTTGCTCGCAATTTATATAATATTTTAAATTATAAAGAGTATTTGTATATTGAAAATTTAGGGGGAGTAGTTAAACAACGAGCAAAAACAATCGAAGATTTATATCATTATTATTAAATATTAATAAATTCATATTTGATTTAATTTAAATAAATTTTTTGAAAATTATAGTTAATAACTATGCGCTAGCAGCTATAAAAATAAGTTTAGCTTGCTAAACGATGCCCAAATCAGGTGACTCAAAGTTATACTTATTTATAGTTATACTGTATATTAGTATTATTAAGTCACCAGATTCAATGTTACCCTAAATAGGTATCAGGATCTTCTAATTGTGCTTTGACCATTTTTAAATATTCTATTCGCAAATATGAACTGCTAAAATAATTATAAAGACTTCAAACAACATTATTATAATCGACTAAATAAAGAATTGAAGATGCTGAATCTTCACTTGCAAGTGCCAAACGGTGAGAAATATAATGATGTTTAATAAGGTATAGATTTTTTTTAAGTTGTGTAGCAACTCCATTATTGCGCCCTTATTATTATTATAATTTAAAAAATATATATAGTTATTATATATTAATTTTAAGAATGCATATAAATATATACATATTTATATATATATCTAATATAACGGATGTGCTATCACTTCCAATATTCATTAAATGATTAATTGATAAATTTTTTGCTTGTAAAAAAATATCTAATTCTTTAATAATTGTATTTGCAGTTCCTTCTTTAAGCTCAATTATTTTCAGATAGCGATATATTAGTAAATTTCTTGAAATATGTTTAGAAACAATTGCAAAATTTTTAGATATAGTAATTGTATTACTTTCATCTATCATAATACTCCAAACTGGAGATTTACAGATTTCTTGGCAAATAGCTTCTTCAATAACTCTTCCAATCGCATCAATAAACTCTCGTGCAGCATAAGCATTAGAATAACTTCTATAATCTGTATGAGATTCTTCTAATAATTCAAGTATTGGATGATTGAGAATATAGGTTTCTTTAGAAGTATATTCTTCTGCAATATCACACTTAATATGATATTCAGTTAGCGAAGTAAGATCAGTAATTTTAGATGTTGCAATAAGATTTTTAGCTAATCAATAAGTGTTCATTAAATTTCGAATAACAGATAAATTACTAGCTTCAAGTTGTTGAGTAAATCCTATTTCAAGACTTATTTGAAATTCCTCTTGTGCTTGTATTAATTTTTGATGGTCTTTAGTTTTTATATGCCATTTAATAGATTGTTCTTTAAAATATTCATAGCCAGTAACAAAATTGTTATGAAATTTGGCTACTTCTCAAAGCTTACAAAATAAAGCAAGACTATTTTCCTTTTGACCTAAACGTAACCAAGGATAGGTTACTTCCCAAATAGAATTCCATTTACGCTTATGTTCTAAAAGCTCATCGGATTTTGGCATTGATTCTTCATTATTGATTGTCATATCATCTGAACTTGCCATATCATCTGAACTTGTATTTTCAGATATAAAACCTTCATTATCTAAATTACTAGTTCTATGCTTTTTAGCATTCATTGCAATAGTAAATGGGGTTTGTAATGAGTTATAAATAATATATTTTTTTTTGGTTTTAATTGACTTCATTTTTTTAAAAAAAAAACTTTGTCGAATTATTTTTAACAAAAAGAAGTTTACAGATAAAATCAACATTAAAACTCAGAAAAAATTTAATCCGTAAAACAAATTAGATTAATATAAGAAAAATACTAAAACAATACTGCAATAGATTTGGTAAGTTATTCATTTAGGAATAACTGAATTTTTTTAAGAGACAATATTAATCAATTTAGGAGTCAAATGAATTTCCTTAAAAATGATAATTATGTAAATCATAGAATCGAATGTAATATGATATCATAGAGGTAAAATTGTATCTGCTATGGTTAGTAATTTTCTTATTGTAATGATAAAAAAAAAAAATTGCAATTTTATACTTAGAATAAATATTAAATTAAATTTATATATTTTACATATTACGCAATATATATTATATATACCCAGATTCATATCATTCTCTATCAAAATGCTTTTTTAGTATTAATTTACCTCTATTAAATTTGACGCAAAAGCCAGTTTTATAATCTAATATTAGAACAAAATAATTCTGTTTAAGAACTGTGACAACATCATGAAACTGAGATTATAATAATCATCAGCAAGTTGACAAGCAAGTAATGTTTTTTTAACTCTCTTCAGTTTTCTTTAGTAACTTGCAAACTAACATGAATAGTGAACAAGCTTTATAAGAAAACTATTAGCAGTAATTTATATTGTAGTTATCAATTTATATATATTATAGTCGCCAGAATAATTAGAAAGTTCAGTAACAGAAGTTTGTATGTATTAACTTATAATAGAAATCATGATAATTCCAATGTTAATTCCAATGCAAATTAATTATCCAACTATTATTGTGTTCATGTATATTCTGTAACAGAATTTTAAGTAACTCATGAATAAATTTTAATTCCAATACAAATATATAAGTTAACCACTGAAATAATCAAAGCGAAACAGTGGATCTAACAATTAAAGAATCTTCATCGTCCATGACAAATATTTTGAATTACTTAACTTGTCTGAAGTGAATGCAACTGATTCAGAAATTAATAGTGAAAAAGATCCTGAACTGGATATTATTAACAAAATAAAATTATGTATAAATATATGAAATATTACTTTTTTGTGCGTATATCAAAGTTGGCCCAAATTGTTGTAAAACTAATGTTACGTCCTAACCAAAGCTTTTTTTCATTAAAACTTGAAGATAATTTATATCATTCATATTTATAGAACGTAGTTTTCCTGAAAGCAATAGAAGTTTTTCAATACAACTATATCTTTGAAAATATACAAGAACCCTACTTATAGAAGATCTGCTAACACCTAAGTGTTTTGCAATTTTTTGAGTTGAAAGGCCTTCTAAATTTTTTTCAATAATTTGCTAGCGAATATATATCATATTTTTTGAATTCAACAAGAGATATACATAATTTTTTATTTATATTAGCCACCTGATTTTAAATTACATATATATTACAGTATTATACCAATTTTTATTAAATTTATTATGCCGAAAAAATTACTGGCTGAAAATTTTTTTCAGCTAATTTTTTATAGGTGTCCCAGAAATAATGAAAACAGCTGTAAACAAGAAGTAAAACAAGAAGTTAGCTCACTTAATTGTAATAAAAAGATTGAAATAAGTACTAATATAACATCACAAAATAGCAAATAAATGTGTAAAGACTACAAAATAAATGTTAAGCTAATTATTATTTTTAGTCATTAAACATCTTATTTTCTTTTAGCCTAACTAATAAGAGAATACAACAAAGTTTATTCTCTGTTTTATTAATTGTTTATTACTGGATTTTCATTAATATTTTTGGGCACAAATTAATTCAGACTCAATAGAGAAATAGCCTCTGGCCGTCAATTAATAAATAGGAGAATAACTTATTGCAGCTGTTTTTATAAATTCTGGATACCTAAAAATTTTCTCATTTCCCAAAACCTTTTTAGTTTTGTCTGACAAATTACCTAGCTCTCTGAAACTACATCGCTATTTTTGAACCTAGTTCCAGAAAGTTAGATAATTTACTGGACGAAACCAAAAAGATTCCGGAAAAGGAAAAATTTTAGATGTCACAGAATTTATAAAAACAGCTGTAATTTCCTACTATAGAGGTATTCATATATTTTTCTGGAATTTTTCCTTCGGCTCTATCTGAGCCAAAAAAATATGAGAAAATATTTTATTATTCCCTGCGTAATAGGGAATAAACAGTACTTATTTATTTATATGTTTGCTTAAGGCATTTTTTATAGTTTGCTTTGTCATCTGCCAGTACTACGTAATTCATAAATTGTAATATAAGTATCGGCAAGAAAAAACCTGCAAACCGTACTTTTTGTAAATTTACTTTTAATAAAAATATCTTAAAATCAAGCAACTTAATTTCTATAATTTTAAATCATTTGAATCATCTTAATGAGACAATTCAAATAATATTAAGAATATTAGATACCAAATTGCCTGATTTTAAGATATTTTTATTAAAAGTTAATATTCAAAAGATACAACCTGTAGGTTTTTCCTTGCTAGCACTCATATCTAAAGCTGAAATATATCTTTGTGCATATATTAAACATTATTACAATAGTTCCAAGTATAGTTAACGAAGCTTAAAACATTTAGCTTTAAAGTTGATTCATTTTAATATATATGCTATAACTAAAAAAAAAAAAAAAAACAAAAAAAAAAAAAAACAAAAGGCATGCTACAACAAAAACTATGACTATAGAGAACATAAATTATAACTTTTATGTTTCCACTTTGTTCCTAAAAGGGGACATGAATTTTAAATTTAGTGTTCTCAAATTTTTTAAAATGTTCCTGAGAGCACTGGGAACATCAAATCTTTAACACTATACAGTTTTGTCAATTTGCACTTTTTCTAACAATCACTTGAACCAGATTTTCTAACAAAAAGAAAAGCCTATTCGATACTAAAGAGCAGTAATAACCTGTAGTAAGGTGAATCAACAGGGCAGTTTTTATAAAGGTTAATCTTCTCTACCTGTCAGAGACTCCTTTATATATTTGTCATGCAAGCCAGAAGCATCAGTATACAAGATAACTGGCAGTTGATAGTACTCTTGTATATGAAATTTTGGTGGATAGGTGGAGATGATAGAAGTTCAAGCCTATTGTTAATAGAGCTATCGGTTGCGAATTAACTGAAGAACAGTAAAGAATGGGTTTTTCTCAAGCTACTCTTTTTTATTTAGTCAAGTGGTTTCTCTTTTACTTTTTCTTGTCTCCTCATCAGTCTTCCAAAAAATTTTGATAAAATGTGGAGATTTGGCTTACCTCTTTAAAAGATCAGCATTGTTTATATCCCAAATTTGGACAAACTAGTGGAATTCAACCATGTGTTTGTTTATGGACGAATACAGTGCTACTTCATGGGACTCAGCCTGGGAACTCTAATTACGGCAGTAGGTGGCTTGAGATATGGATCCTTCTTGGGTTAGGGTAAGTGTAACCCTTGGACAACGGCAGCACCTGCTCAAAATACGAATTAGAACAGGCAATGAAGCGATTCGGAGTTGGTGGGAAAATCAGAAAGTAACTTTAACGTTAAAACAAAGCCTTACAAAAGAGATATACAAGCATTGCACTTGTTATATAATTTTTACCAGCCTTGCATGGGTTATAATAGTGCCTTTATAATCTTAGATTTCTTTTTATGTTTTTTCTTTTTTGCAATCTGTTTTTCTTTTTTTTTTTTTTTGGTTTTTTCTTTTTTGATCATTTTCATAAATTCTTTGTTTAAACTTTTTCTCTTTTTGTCTTATGTCTCTTGAGAAGAAGAAAAAATTTGAAGAGAAAGTGAGATCTTGACATGTTGGGAGCTGAGCCCAAGCTATACTATATCTTTAAATGTGCTACACTGTATGTGGGATATAGTGTCAATCATCAGTACGATAATCAAAGTTGGGCATCTTTAAGACAGCTTTTAATATAATCAAATATTAGTAGTTTAGTCTTGTATTGAACATCAGACCTTAGTACGCGGTTATCAAAAAAAAAAATATATATATATATATAGTATTATATATAAATATATATATAAAGTAATACAAATCTATTCTGATCTCGGGATCCTGTGATTGAATTTTGATGATTTTGGGCTTGTTAAAATTGTCTCACTGAGATAGACATTTTGGTGGTAAAATCATCCAAAACAGACTGCTGAGTCAAAAGTTATCTAGTATTAATATTAAAATTTTTTATACTTTTAATAATTTTAACCAATTAAAAGCTATTATTATATTAGGACCTGATATTTTTCTGATCCTTTCTCCCACCCTAAAAATCAGATAATAAATGACGCTCCTCTAATAACTTATGTAATATTTCATAATTGTATATTTCACAATATTGCAAAAGTTATTGTATAATATTATGTTGTTTTTACAGTTTGTAAATTATTTCACAATATTATGCTCTATTAAATTTGCTGATGTAATATTTTGCTCTCAAAATTTATAATTATGTTATAAAATGCACATAACTGCCATATAATATTATATAAAATATAGCATTATTAAGTAATTATTGCATAATTGGCTCTAAGTGCTGTTCTGAAAAGCTCCGAATAGAAAATCAACCAACACAAATTACAAGCAAGGTCAAGAAAAAATTAAAGTTCTTGAATGATGCTGCTCACTTCACCAGCAATCATTTTACCAAAAGTTCATTTAGCTGACATTACATAGAGTTAGTGTTAGTGTTTTATTAGTTGCAATATATTTTTGGTAAATTGTCATCTGGCTAAGTGAAAATTATTGGTAAAGTAAGACATATCCAATTTCGAATTATTATGAAAGATGGGTTTTATACTAATTGTCCGAAGGACATTACGGAAGAGTCATAGTGACCTGGTTGTGTGTGTCCGCAAATTAAGGGTTTTGATTGGTTGATTGATAAAAACAAACATTTGCTCCGAAAATACCCATTGTCGGACTGATCCGTAATAAGTCCTTCGAACCTTAAATGGTTTCCATTTACCTAGTTTGCATAAAATCATCGTCCCTGTTTAGACAGTCCCCTAATTAAGATATGGCTGTGGCGTCTTATCATGTGGCCATACTTTTGGTAACTTTATGTGGCTTTATATTACCTACACATACGTATTTATTATTTTATATGTATTATCGTTATATAATAATAATTTTATATATACAGTACAATTACACTTCTCAACTATCATAATATAACGATAATAATTATTTTAAAAGCTATTTTATCATAATATAAAGCTAATTTTGAACATTATTTATTAAAAAAATAACCTAAGTTCCAGATTTCTGCTAACGACGCCACATTAACGGTTTATATTTTATGGCATCAAAAACCTTAATGCTAATTAAAATATTGCATCATTTCTCATTACCTTACTATATCTAATGAAAAGTCTTATGTTATACAAGAAAGTACCAATATATATACAAAACAATTTTTCGTAACAGGTAATGAACAAAATCGTGAATTATTATCGTTATAAGAAATCGATCAACTGACTTTGAAGAATTAACCAGCTAAATCGAAGATCAGCTTTAGCTAATTTTTTTCATTATTGGCCTGAATCGTTAGTGTCTACCACGTTTGGCAGGAGTGCTACCATTAGAGATTATGAAAGAATCGGTGTTGACCTTCCGCTGTTAAATACAATTTGCGTTGTCAAATATAATATAGATAAACCAGAAGTAAATACAAATAATAATTATAATTACTTTCTTTTCTTCCTGTACAGGCTGTGCTGCTTCCTCTTCACCGTGCTCCTTTTGTAAAAGATTGATAAGAGTAGCGCAGCGTCGAGCAATCTCTCCAGATGTCCTCGACTTGATAAACCAATTAAACCGAAACACTTCAGCACTTTCAATTTCATTCCGTATTTTCTCATATACATCTTCAGTTCCATATCCATATTTTGCAAGTGCAATTAATAGATATCGATCTTCCTCTTCTGAAAATAATGTCTTCCCCTTCGCTTGATTTGATACTTGTAATTGATGACCGGGCGTTCGATATTGTGCTACCTTTGCTCTAAGCAATTCCTGAATACCAACAGTCTGTTGCAATTTACTTTCGCCTTTAACAATCTTCGCGATAATTTCTTCATGGTCTTGATATTTTAAAGTTAATTAAATTTTTATGTAACTTAATCGAAACAATTGACAATTAGAGTGTGGACATACTAGGTAATTCTTGATAACGCTGCCAAAAGACTTTAGCATACGCTTTTACTTCGTCTAAAGTTTTACCTTCTATTTCAGAAGCTATTTCTTCAAGGGCATTTCTAATACAGATCATCAAATAATGTCAATATTAAGACAATACCACTATAGCCGTTTCTTTCAAACACATACCTTCCATATTTAGCAGATGCATTCACAAAATTGTTGTAATCTCTTTTGCTCCAGTCTTCGAAAATCTATTTTAAAAAAAAAAAACTAAATAAAATTATTTGATAACAATGAATAGACAATGCTCGCATACATTTTCCATTAATGCTTCTTTTTCTGCCTCTTCCTCTTCAGTTAATGCATCGGCTAATTTACAATTCAAACGTGAAAACTCAGATTAGCATGCACATTAAACGATGTGATGTCGAAGCTTAAATTATACCATTATCAATCTTGGCCTGTTCTTCTTGGCGCTCTTTTTCCCGAACCTCCATGTCATCTTCATTCTCACCCTGAGGTTCTGCCAAAGCAACCTTATATCCAGCTAATTTCTATGCACAGATCAGACGTCAGTTTCTAAGTTTAGGGTAAACTTTGATATACAAAAAAAAAACATACTTGTTGATGATACATCTCTTTCTTTAATAATTCCACTAACCGAGGAGGGTAGAATTGAAATTCGTTGCTATAAAAAAAATGTAGCCATGGTCATAAAATAGTCATATATGCAAAGTACACGAATATCACATTGTAGACACAAACATGATAATTTGTTTAGGTGCTCTGGGTACTTTAGGCTGAGTTGGTTTGGCTGTAAGTCGTAATGCTTCTCTATAATATGAGTCGACAGCATAGTTGGCTTTACGTTCTCGTTTTGGTGGTTCAATCCAATTAAAGCGCGATGTTTGACCTTTGCGCTAGAAGATTGTAAGATTCAGTCAATTACGATTATATATTTTTCTTATTTAATGCAAGATAACACACCTTATTACTCCAATCTTCTCCTTGCCATTGATAAGCAGACTCTGACGTAAAGTTTTGTAAATCATCCAATCCGAGACTCTGATATTTCATACTAAGTTCTGCAGTCTTCTCTTCACCTTTACGCAGAATATTTTCAATATCATCATCTGTTACAGTGCTATAAAGGAAAAGAGAAACTCGATTAAATCCAGTCTAATGATTTTACAATATGCAAAAAGGATTCATTCCGTACCTATCACTAGAGTTGAAGACGCTTTCAGCTCCATGCTGAATCATTGTCAAAAGCTCATCTTTACTAGCGGCTAGTATGCATATTAACATGTCAATATAGTTATATATGAACACTGTACAAACAAATTGGCATTACAATCTTACCTTTCTGAGATTGGGTTAGTCGGCCTTGCTGAATAACAAGCTGATCTAGCCGCAATTTTTGAGCAGCTCTTTCTAGAACTTTTTCTTCGATAGCGTTCTAAGTACAATATATAGAACAATTACTATGTATTAAGCACAATTCGATAAATATAATAACCATAAATAAATTAACAACTCTTACTTCAGTAACAAATCTAAAGACGTATACTTGTTTAGTTTGCCCAATACGATGTGCACGATCTTGAGCTTGTAAATCTACTTGGGGATTCCTGAAAAAGTATAATCAATTAGCGCAATAGCAACATAACAACTCTGCAAAATAATGCATACCAGTCACTATCATAAAGTATTACGATATCTGCACTGGTGAGGTTGATTCCAAGTCCACCCGCACGTGTTGTGAGCAAGAATATAAATTTACTGCTTCCAGGCGCATTATAATCGTCTATGGCAGTTATTCGGTCATCTTGTTTTGTTTGCCCGTCAATACGACAGTATTCTTTCAAAGAATTAATATTAGCATGCATAGATAATAAAATACGTAAATAAAATACGTAAATTGAATGTGAAATCAGTACTAACCAAAATCACGAAATATACAATAATCTTCCAGTATATCAAGAACTCGACTCATCTGACTGAACAGAAGAACACGTGAACCCTGCGATTTTAATCTTTTGAGAAGTTTGTCTAATACCATCATTTTGCCTAAAATATTACAATTATTTGACCGTTTTTTATTATAATCATCTAAAAATGGTAATACTATTCTAAAATAATCACCTGCGTTGTTAATAAGATGCTCATCAGTTGTATAAGGTGGGCCGGGCTCCTGCAAGCAATCCATAATTAATTCGTAATTAAAGAATTACGAAAATATTAAGAAAATGGAAAATAAAAGGACTTACGGCACCATCAAAAAGATATGGATGATTGCAACATTTCCTAAGTTGCATAACAATATTCAATAAGCGTGTCTTGCTTTCACTTTTACTTACAGCACCTTATTAGTCAATTAAAAATAATATTGACACTATTAATATGAAATAAAGAGCCAAATATAAAGTAACGATCCCTTACCATTAACTGCAGCAATATCCTTTTCTAAAATCCTTTGATACCATTTCCTTTGCATGGAGGTCATTCCAACGTATACATTAACCTCCTTTTTTGGAAGGAGGGACTTTTCCACATCGGATTTTATCCTTCTGAGAAGGAAAGGTCGTAATACCTAATAACCCAGAAATTTATTGTCATATCCAAAGCGTAACAAATAATTTTTTTGCATGTATTATCATGTACCTTATGCAATTGCTGAACTACATTATCTTGATTATCACCTTGAGATTTAAACCAAGAATCAAAATCCTTAGAAGAACTAAACACATCAGGTAAAAGAAAGTTTAAAAGAGCCCATAGTTCATGAAGATTGTTTTGAAGTGGAGTTCCAGTAATTAATAAACGATTCCTTGATTTGAAAACTCTAACTATCTGTGAAAGCATGGAGTTTTCGTTTTTGATTCTATGGGCTTCATCAATGATAATATATTGAAAAGCGAATTTTTTTAATGCAGCTTTTTCTATTAAACACATCTCATAAGATGTTATGCAAACTTCGAAATCTTTTGGCAATAATCGTTCAGAAATTATTTGTGCCTATTTGCTATTATAGTTAGTAATAACCTTATTATATAATTAATAAAACAGAATTCTTTTATGTACCCTTTCTTTCTTGTTTCCGTGTAGAACAACTACATGAAAATCCGGAATCCACATGTTAAATTCTTTTTCCCAATTATGTAATGTTGATTTTGGTGCAACAACAAGATGAGGGCCAGGTATATTTCGAACATATTTAAGATACCCAAGAAATGAGATCGATTGCAAAGTCTTGCCAAGACCCTAAATTTTTAAAAGCACTATAATAAGTTTACAATCCAAATGCATGTATGATTTTTATGTATCTATATACCATTTCATCTGCTAAAATTCCGTTAATCCCGTTTTCGAAAAGTGATATCATCCAATTCAGGCCTTGAAGTTGATAATCGCGCATTGTCCCATTTTTAATAACTTTAAAAAAAAATAAATAATGAGACTCTGCTCAACTTAAAGGTCAGAGTGCTATGTTAATCCAGCACACTTACAACTTGGTGATTCAGTAAAAACCTGCATAACACCCGGTGACTCGTCTGCTTCGTCTTTGAGCAACTCCTACATCAAATACAGGCATCAATTACAACATTAAAATAAAGCAAAATTGGTTCAAAATATAATAGAATAACCTCATCCTCCTCCTTTTCAGTTTTTCGATGACGCCGAGACCTTAAGTAATTATAATAATGAATTTACTTATTATAGTACATCAAATACAAAAAAAAAAGCTATATATTATTACCCGGACGACTCTTTTATCGAGTTATTTAAATTTTCAGCTTCTTCAACAAGTACTTTAAATTCTTCATCTTCCGTTTTCTGGATTTGTTAAATATACTTAATTAAATTGCATTTTACGTCATAACGCATTAATCAGTTACCTTCAAATCAATGAAGTGCGAGAATAATTCTAAGGCAAAATAAACAGATGTTGATTAATACGATCCAATTCAATACCATCTTAAAATAGCATATCTAGATACAAGATCTATGCGATACCTGAATGACCAAGCAAAAATTGGTACCGCTTCGCTGTATCTCTGATCTGTAATCAAAAATATGAGGTGGTCAACTTCATGAGATCAAAATAAAGATCGGTTAGAAAGAAATATATATATACTTTATTTTGATTTAGCTTTCGTGTATCTTTCTCTAAAGCTTGTTTTTGGGCTTTCCTTTCTTGTCTTTGTCGTTGAAGTTTAGCTTTTTTATCTTCACCAGACTTCGTAGAACTCTTTACAGAACTGGATATCAGCCAAATAAAAGAGAGTAAGAACGAACACGTATAATGATTATACTAAATACCGCATCTGACTCGACATCGGACGTATTCGAAGTCTGGTCACTTTCTTCCTGGGTTACTATGGCATCATTGCTTGTGGACATCGTATCAGGCATATCCTAAATAGTTTTATACTCAAGGTTAAAAATATTATAAAGCGAATCACGGACTACTAGTGAGCGGAAATTTCATATACTATGTACGTTTTCTTTGAGTATGTCCATTTGTTTTACGAAAATGTATGAAAAATCGCGTGTAAATTGCAATTCTCATTACTCGATATTTATATTTATGTAGCGTTTATTATTGTTTAACCAATCAGATTATGCGCGACTGTCACGCGATAACTTTCTTTGTGCAAGGCTATTTATCACCCAACGCGACATTAGTGTTAGGTTATACAAAATTAATTTCCGGACATCAAATTGATCTGGGAGGTTAGCCACTGATTTTAGCACATCGAATCTAATTAAAAAACACCTATATCAAGTGTAATATATATATAAAAGCGATATTTTGATATAAGAAAAGTTGCCGGGTCCAGTCAAAACCTTTCTTATGTCGAGATTCTCTTAAATCAAGAGCTTTTTATTATAAATTTTTGATTGGGGACTTGTATAATCTTTCCTATATCGAGAGTTGCTTGTATATAAGTAATTTAGGATTTAAAATAACTATATTACTTGATTTAATGTAAAAGAGAATAGAAATGTATATATATATATACTGTATATAGCGAAACCTCTATATGTGCACCTAGCGTTCTAATCCGGATTAATCCTCCTCCGGTATTTATCTCATTATCCAAACGAATTTAACAAAATTATTTGATGTATTAAAGATTAAAATAATCAACAATATAAATTAGAGAAATTTTATTTTTACCCGGATTTCACTGTATATATTACTGATTTATCTTAGAAATTGTAATTGTCAAATAATTTATATTGTTGATTATTTTAGGAGTTATTAGTATACGTACCGCCAAGAGAAAAGAGCTATTTTAAATTTTTTTTTTATTTAACAACTACTTGATTAAAATTGATAATAATTTTTTTATTTGAATTTTACGAATTTGTAAAATTCAAATAAAAAATTATTTAATCAAGTAGTTATTGAGATAACTTTGATTAAAAAATTTTTAATAAAGTTTAAAATAGCTTTTTTCTTTTGGTAGCACTTATACTGTATAATATAGTATTATTAGTTAATCAAAATTGTTTAATAATATAATTATATAATTTTATATTAATTTTTGGTTATAATTTTTCTACAACTACTAATCCAAATTTGAATAAAATTTATTAAAAATAAATATATCGATATTAAAATTTAGTTAATTTAAATTATATAGAGTTAATACCTCAATCCGGATATATTTTTTATATCCGGATTAATCCGGATTTATCATAGTATAAATCCACAGGTAAGAACGTCCCAAATATGGAAAATGGTTACACGAATGTTGGATGATTGTCACATGCAAACCAGCCAATCAAAAATCGGTAATTTTATGGAAAAAAAAATTAGGCGACGAAACAAAATACGAAACAAATCAATGAAATTTAATTAAAATTTATCTTCAAAATTCAAAGTAAATATCACTGAC